CAGTTAAATTATGTAATTATAGAAACATAGAAACATAGAATTGACGGCAGATAAGAACCGTTTGGCCCATCTAGTCTGCCCAATTTTCTAAATACTTTCATTAGTCCCTGGCCTTATAGCTAGGATAGCCTTATGCCTATCCCACGCATGCTTAAACTCCTTCACTGTGTTAACCTCTACCACTTCAGCTGGAAGGCTATTCCATGCATCCACTACCCTCTCAGTAAAGTAATCCTTCCTGATATTATTTTTAAACCTTTGCCCCTCTAATTTAATACTATGTCCTATTGTTGTGGTAGTTTTTCATTATTTTGATTGTATTTACTAAAGTGATATAACAAGTGACTGTTTTCGTAAAAGCATATTCCACGTGTATTTGCACAAATTTCCATTTCATATGTACAGTAGCGAGAAAAATGTCTGAAAAAATGGGCAGAAAAATTCCTAAAACTGTTGTGTCGCCAAAAATTTCACACAGTTTCAAAAATGATTTTTGGAGAGCAAAAAAGCAACGTAGAAAAAAACCCAATATAATAAAAATAAAAAAAAATGTAAAACATTATTTAATAATAAAAAAGAATTGCTCCAAAAATTCACTGAAAATAGGACATAGAGATTTTGGTGACACTTTGCTAAATTTCCTTAATGAAACCTGTACATAGCCTGAAAAGATGTCGTAGTTTAGCCATGAGTACACATCCTAGTAACTGGTTATAGGTCACCTTGTGCATACATGTCTCTCCACCATGATAATATGCTTCGTAAAGACTCTATGCATAATGGGAAACTCTGATCATTTATCATGTCCAGCTATATGAGGCATTGGTACCGGCCATGAGTGGGACGTTCTTTTTTCTTTAGACTGGATTGTTACAACATAATTATTTAGTCATCGTTGCTTAAGTGAGAAAATCTGCTCTTCACAGGGAATATCATGTCTCAATTTTGGAACCCCTGGGACTACATGTGCTTATGCAATACACTTACTAATCCAAAAATTTTAAATACCAAATGGAGTATTCTCCCCAAGTGGCCATTACTTTATCTATGGAAAATATGCAGTTTAAAGGGACGATGTCTTTTACACCCTTCTTAAATTAAGCTATTATAGCACATGGAATCATAAATAACATCAAAATCTGCTGATACTATCTCTTTGAATTTTTATTAGTGCTTTATCGAATTTTCATCATCGGACCGTCACTGCTGCCTGATTCCCGTATTGTTGATGTTGAGATCAGTGTAAGTCCATTAGTTCTGCAAGTTCTGTGTGCTCAATTGGTACTTTAATTCCATGATTATTCAAAGTTTCTGGTTTAGGGTTATACATTAAGTTTTAGGGAGACATACATCAATTATGGAATGACGCAAATGTCAAACCATTCCCTAATTTAACGGCTGATTTTAATTTTAATTTACCACTGTATGAAATATTTAATTACCTGGGGGACATTTGGAAAACACCTCAAGATAAAGAAAAAAATTACTTCAAAATGATTACAAAATATCTTTAACTATAATTAAAGATAAAAAAATACATTCTAAAGCTATGACCGCTATGACCACTCTGATCGTCTCAAACAAAGAATTAACAACTTTAATTAGGTGGGAAAGATAATTAAATATTAAGATACCACGAACTGAGTGGTATAACTCTTTAAATAACACGAGAAAGGCAACCCACTGTTTAAATTTACAGTAAAATCACTACAAATTTATTAAATAAATGCCACTTGGTCCCTTCTAGAATAACTAAGATGTTTACTGTTTTGTAGCTTATAAAAATGGATTGCTAGGGTCATATTAACCACTCAGTCACTATTGCAACTATACATAGAACAGGCTATCAGTAACTATCTTGTTACGTCTGAAGAAAAGGATTCTTTTGGGGAAAATTGGATAAGGAATATGTTAAATTTATGGTCCCCTGATGTGTGTTGAACTAATATCGCCCAGCCAAAATAAGTTATATAGCTGTAGAAACCTCACTGATCTTGCTAAATGACAACCTATAGAATGCATGTTTGTCTTTTTCTTTGTTACTGTCTATATGTAAATTACTATGAGATGATTTGTCTTGTCTGTTTGTACTGTGAAAAAATACATTAGTTCAGAAAATTTGAATAAAGATCATTTTAAAGTTAGGGAGACACCTAGTGGACAATCTGTTTGGTTCTATTTCGTTCTCATTTTCTCGATGGATAAATTACTAGACATGGAATTGCTTCAAACTAAAATCTGAATGGAAAATGAAACAGGCTAAAACATCTGCCCTTGAATAATTGCCCAACTCAACTATGGTTAAACATGGTTTGACTACCTACAATGGGACTCATTGCACCATAACCACTGCAGCACACTTGAAGTGTTGCTTTTATCCCTAGTTCCCATTCGTGTGCATGAATGTTTTCTCATGCTCTGGTTCCATTCTTTTTACAGAATCCAGAAGGTATTGTGGTTTGGAAGGATCCATTCTCTGCTTTGGATAAAAGTGGGATTGTATCAAAGAGTTACACACTTCCGGAGATTGCAAAGTGAGTGAGTTACATTGTTTGTGTGTTAAGATTCCGGTATGGGACCTTTCTGTTCTGTGTCTCTGTAAAATTTAGTTTCATGCATTATTTTAGCATGATGGGGAACTCATAATAAAAGCCACCATTGAAAAAATATTTGTAAAAATTAAAAACCTTTTTTAAGTAAAGCCATGCTAATGAATATTCTATCTATGTTTCATTTGCACCTTAATCAAGATAGTAAATATAATTTTTCTTCTGAGAAATAGTGACTAAGAGTGAACTTGTTCATAATTACTTGCAGCATGATGGCCAGTCAACACGTAAACATAGTTTTAATTTGTGAATAATTCTGACTAGTTATGAAATTTACAGTTGTGATAAGTGGAATAGAAAATGGTAATTGCTTGCTGACATCTAGATTTTATTTTATTATTATTATTTGAGTTCCTACCTTCATTTGAGTGATAACATGCATGCAAAGGATAGTATTTACCTAGGTAACAAGGATAGACAGATCCACCATGTTTCCTGGGCATAGATACATGTTACGCGGCCAGTTCAGGACCACTCTGCAGTATGTATAACATAAATTAATACACGAGGAGTGTGACAGAAATTAATTGTGAATTTTATGAACTACTTGGATACTGTGGAAATAGACTAAATCTTCAAAACACTTTGAATTCCACTTCAGAACACTTTGAATTCCTGATAATTCTCCCTTCAGTAAATAATCCTGTGATCATAATATAAAACGCAAATTATTGTCTCTTAACTGGTTCTCTGCCTACTTCTCCCAGCACTTGTCAGTGTTTCTTTCTCTGCCTCTTCTCCGCAAGCCCGCAAGCCATGGTTCTATCCATGGTCGATTACTGCCTTCCTTGGTGAACCCATCAGCTTTTTTGGCCTCCAATGTGGATGACACACACATCTATCTGTCTTCACCTGATCTCTCGCTGTCCCTCTTGATTCAAGTCTCTGACTGCCTCTGTGCTATTTCTAACTAACATTCTGCAGAGCTGTGCATTACGTAAACAAGACAAACAATTAGATCTAACCAAACATGTATGGCATACGGGAACAGGAGGTGAAGAGAGCCAAGGCCAAAATAATTTACAATCTAAAAGATAAAGGATTAGCATGCCCCATCTAATTACACAATTGTTAATTGTTGACCGCAATGCAGGCCTGATAACATTTCAATCTGTTAAACAGAACAGTATTTGTGTTAGGGGAGTAACTGCAGGCATGGCTGGTAGGAAAAACATAGTGGAGAGCTGTTAGATTATTTCTTTCAACAACTACAAGAGACCCACTGTATCTAAAAAAAACATGTGAAGAATCTACAGTGAGGAGATGTCCTACTCTCCGAGGGCTCCTTAATACACAGAGCTAATAGCAAAAAAAATTAAAAACACAAAGAAAAATATGGAAACACAAAACTACAGAGAGAAAACCAGAGAGTAAATTATCTTGCAATTATCTGGGCATATTTATACACAGTACCAGATCTCTCCCAGATATACCCAAATGGATTATTCTGAAAACAGTTTATGTAACTGTTGATTTATCACAAAGTTTAAGTATTTTATTTAAACAAACTAATTTATAACTATGATATCTGCTGTTAATTTTATTTGTGGATCTGGGATGCTCATCCACAACACACATTACTGTTAGTTTTATTTTTGTGGAGCTCTGTGATAAACTGTGGAACATTACTATGAGTTATATTGTTGTTGAGCTGTATGACACAATCTTACACACTGCACATTACCATGAGTATTATTACTGTGGAGCTCTGTGATGCATTTATACTTACCAAACATTACTGCACTTTTTTTTTTAACTCTGTGATACACTCTACTCATAACTGTGCATTTTCTTACCGAAGAACACTGCTATACACTTATAAACATGCTACATTACTATGAGTATTATTGTTGTGAAGCTCTGTGACACTCTTATATAGACAGTTCACAGTCTACATACAGTTGTTGTAGAGCTCTGTGATATACTCATCCACATTGTCTAATGACTATGAGCTGTATTGCTGTGGAGCTCTGTCATACACTAATAAAGACTGTATATTAATGTGAGTTTTATTGCTGTGGAGCTTTGTAACATTGCTGTGAGTGTTATTGCCATGGAGCTCTGTGATATACTCATCCACATTGTATATATATATATATAATGACTATGAACTGTATTTCTGTGGAGCTCTGTCACACACTCATACACACTGTATATTATTGAGAATGTCATGGATGATGTGAGCAAGTCTTAGCCAATTGGCAGACAGAGCTAGGCCACATCCTGCACTCTGCACAATCTACATATTTGTAACATGACTGGAATATTGAGGGCTATTTGTTTCTAGTGATGTCACGAACTGTTTGCCGAATGGTTCGCGAACGGTTCGCCACGAACGGTTCGCCGCGGACTCATCATTGCGTAAACTTTGACCCTGTACCTCACAGTCAGCAGACACATTTCAACCAATCAGCAACAGACCCTCCCTCCCAGACCCTCCCACCTCCTGGACAGCTCACTAAGAATGCAGCTTCACAATGGATGCTGTCCAGGAGGTGGGAGGGTCTGGGACGGAGAGACTGCTGCTGATTGGCTGGAATGTGTCTGCTGACTGTGAGGTACAGGGTCAAAGTTTACTCAATGATGAGTTTGCAGCGAACCGTTCGTGGTGAACCGTTCGCGAACCGTTCGGCGAACAGTTCGGGACATCACTATTTATTTCTGATTATAATTTTCCTTATTATTATTTTGCATTGTTTTTATTATGTCTTATATCCATAATACATTGGAAGTGTGGTGCTCTCCAAGCCGTAGTACATCGATAAGTGTTATTATATATATTTCCTGATCAAACATGGTAGGATAACTACTTAGATCCTCCACTCCCACCCCACTGACAGTAAAGGTTTATTTTCCTAATGGCCACTCAGCAACAAAATGCCCCTTATTTACAAAATAAAAATGAAAATACATGGAATGGGCATCAAGAGGTGGTGGTTTATCTCTTGGGAAATCATTAACGTCATTGAGCCTAAAGGCCATGACTAGCTGTACTTTAGACCACTCAGTGGGTGAAGTGGCCCTTTCATTTTAGCACTACAATGTAAATAAAGCATCAGAGTTTAGTACCAACTGCAATGTTCACATCGAATGGCTAAATACAACAATAGTGTCTTTCTTCCTGTATCAAAATACAGTTGGTATAAAATTACATTATTATATATATATATATATATATATATATATAATATTTTAAAATTATTTTCATTAATTATTATTTTTTATAATATATATATATATATATATATATATATATATAGTTATTATATATATTATATATATGTGTGTAATTTTACTCTAATTGTATTTTTGTATTCAAATATAAATAAATAGTACTACCTAGTTAGACAACCCAACTTGGAGTACCGAAAAATGGGTGAATGGGGTGGCAAAAGGGCATAACCCTATAATAGATACAGAAAGAGAAATAGCAGAGATGGAGGATTGATCGCCTCATACAGAGACCGGGCTGATCACCTCCAAGCCACCCCAAAACAGCGTCTCAAAAATAATAAACAATTTTATTGGGAAAAACCTTATTAAAATCAAAGAAGGAAAACACATCTATCTATAGATAAAATAAATAACTAAAGCTCAATATATACAGAGTATGGCTGATATATATATGTATATATAGTATAGTATGTCAAATACCTATAGGTAAGGTATAGTACATATATAAATACATAAGAACCATAGACTGTGCAATGCAAGCCCGATACAGAATATAGAATATGGCTAAAATATAGATATAATACTATAATAAGTACCTGTGCAAAAAAATAATAAAGAGTAGATACAATAGTAAATATGAAAAACCAAAAATTCTGCACTTAAAAAACTAATCGCTGCAGAGTATGGTTAACCATATCAGAATGTGGCAAAATCATTATGAAGTGAAACAGTGTAAGCCACAATAGTAGCCAAAAACTCTGCTGCTGTACCTACAGGGTTAAGTTTTGAATGGAAATCGAAAGGATAGAAGAGGGCATAAATAAAAGGAGAAAAATAAAGCAGAAAGACCTGAATATAGATCTACATACAGGAAAACTAGGTCTGAGTGCCTAATCCCGATAAACAGCCCACCTATCACTAAATAAGAAAACCAGAGCTGCAAAAACGCTCAGTACCACTAAACCATACTGTAAGGTACAAAGAAAAAACAAAATAAACTTGATTAGCTATATAAAATAGCCCATAGCCCTGAATCATCAAACGAAAAAGAATAACAGAAGAAAGATATTAAGTTCCCATCATATTTAGAGTTAATCACAAGCATACATTGTAAAGAGACAAAAGAGTGGTATTATAAACACTAATAACTAATAAATAAAGTAGAATAAAATAAAATAAAGTAATAGTAATAGGCTGAAAGAAAAAGATATATACATAATTGTATTCATTGTCCAATGATTACATACTAGAATACAGACGACAGAATCCCTATCAATCTATAGTCATTCACATAGTCTATAACTATATTAGATTGGTGCAGGGAAGTGTATATAAGTATATATGTATACATAGAAAAATACATACATGTGTATAAATATATATATATACAGTACATTGTTCAAAAAGGCTTCCTCTGAGAAGCGGATTATATGAAAGGGGCAAAAGAAAAGCCCTCATTAAGACCTAGAGGTTGGAGTGTCTTAAGTTCGTATATCCATCTTGACTCTCTCTGTCTTAATATTTTATCATAATCTCCACGTCTCAAAGTCCTTTTAACCAACTCCAAACCACAAAACCTAAGATTATTGGAATTCCCCTGGTGATGTTCTTTAAGGTGTCTCGATATGGGTGTCTCGAGGCGATTTCTAGGAGATCTCACATGCTCCATAATCCTATCCTTAAAGGCCCTAAAGGTTTTTCCCACATATTTCTGTCCACATGTGCAAGATAATAAATATACAAGGCCCTTCGTATTACAATTGAAGAAGCTTTTGACTTGGAAGGAATCACGTCCCTGACTGTCCTTAATAGTCTTAGAGTCCCTAAGGATAAATTTACAGGCTACGCATCTACCGCACCCATATGTACCAATTGGGGGGGTACCAAGCCAAGTGGCGCGTTGTTGTGGTTTCATGGAGAAATGGCTAGGAACCAGTAAATCACGAATGTTCCGTCCACGTCTGGATGTAATGTTAACATGTGGGCTTAGAGTATCTTTGAGATGCACATCATTGAGCAGGATGGGCCAGAAACGTTCAAGTGATTTCCGAACTTCTGGCCATCCCACATCAAATGTTGCTATCATGCGATCATCTTTTGTCTCTTTACAATGTATGCTTGTGATTAACTCTAAATATGATGGGAACTTAATATCTTTCTTCTGTTATTCTTTTTCGTTTGATGATTCAGGGCTATGGGCTATTTTATATAGCTAATCAAGTTTATTTTGTTTTTTCTTTGTACCTTACAGTATGGTTTAGTGGTACTGAGCGTTTTTGCAGCTCTGGTTTTCTTATTTAGTGATAGGTGGGCTGTTTATCGGGATTAGGCACTCAGACCTAGTTTTCCTGTATGTAGATCTATATTCAGGTCTTTCTGCTTTATTTTTCTCCTTTTATTTATGCCCTCTTCTATCCTTTCGATTTCCATTCAAAACTTAACCCTGTAGGTACAGCAGCAGAGTTTTTGGCTACTATTGTGGCTTACACTGTTTCACTTCATAATGATTTTGCCACATTCTGATATGGTTAACCATACTCTGCAGCGATTAGTTTTTTAAGTGCAGAATTTTTGGTTTTTCATATTTACTATTGTATCTACTCTTTTTTTTGCACAGGTACTTATTATAGTATTATATCTATATTTTAGCCATATTCTATATTCTGTATCGGGCTTGCATTGCACAGTCTATGGTTCTTATGTATTTATATATGTACTATACCTTACCTATAGGTATTTGACATACTATACTATATATACATATATATATCAGCCATACTCTGTATATATTGAGCTTTATTTATTTTATCTATAGATAGATGTGTTTTCCTTCTTTGATTTTAATAAGGTTTTTCCCAATAAAATTGTTTATTATTTTTGAGACGCTGTTTTGTATTCAAATATGTATATATATTAATAAAAAATACACTTAGTATGTTATACATAATATATATATATATACATATTATATTTAGATATAATATATATATATTTGTTAATTTATAAACTTTATTTTATTTTTTGTTTGTAACCTTTTTATAAAAAAACAAACAAGCTTTTTTTTACTTTTTCACCAGCAGAGGGACTGCCTTTCAGTTCAGGCAGTCCCCCTGCTGGCAGCACTGTGGACACCTATTGCGGCCATGTAAACGCCCTTTTAGGGTGCTAAATTGGAGAGGGAGGACTGTCCGGGCTGAGCATAAGGCTATCCTAATTGTAAGATAAGGCCAAGGACTAATGAAAGTATTTAGAAAATTGGGCAGACTAGATGTGCCGAATGGTTCTTATCTGCCGTCACATTCTGTTTCTATCGCTAGCACAGTGATGTCTGTAAATCCTCGCGAATGTAATCCTAACGATGAAGTAGCATTAATCGTCATGGTACACAGAGCAGAAAATAGATTGATATGAGCATCACATTGCTTATAATCTGATATTATTTCTATTCTAGTGTTGGAACTTGGCAGATTTCCTCCAAATTTCAAGATGTACCTCAAGAAATATTTAGAACTGAATTTGAGGTGAAGGAATATGGTAAGTTTCTATTACAATTGGCAAGCACCAGGTAAAGTGATACATTTGCAATTTTTTCACATTTCCAGATGCAGATGTTTCAAACTGGACAGCACCGTAATATGTAATCTAAAAAAATTGTATTGATTTCTTTTGAGGTAGAGAAGTTTAGTACATACATGGATACTTCAGACTGGAGATAATCTATTTTGTATGCATTAGGTCGCTTGAGGTCAGCATCAGAATGACCCTCCCACCCACTCCTCATTTCAACACTTTCTCTTTTCTTTCCATTTACTTTACTTACTTACTCCTTGGTGGGCCCTCTTTATTTACAGGCCTACCGTATCATCGGTCTCGGCACACCACAACCGACTTGCTCCCTTTATACTATCCTACACTTATGCTGGAACCTTACTCCATATATGTCTATACCCCGAACACAAATATATATATATAAAAATATATAGTCACATTTGACATTCCCAAATTGTTGCAAACCCACAACTTTTACAGAATCTGTAGAGAGATCTGTTTACACGAGAAGGTAATTCGGCTAGTTAGGATGCTCAATTACCTAATAACAGAGTTTAGCATACCTCTTAATATTCTGCATCCCAACACATTTTGCAGTACCAGCAATAGCAGTACATAAGGCTTCTGAAATACTTTTCAAAAACTTTCGAAATGATTTCATTACAAAAGCCACCGTTAAAGTCAACGGTAAATTTTGTACATAAATCATATGGAAAGTTTTACAGTAACAGATTACGATCAAGGTTAAATACTTTGTTATTATTATTTTAAGAAAACTTACCCCCGAAATTTTCACTCAATTATTCTCTCTGAAAAAACAAACAA